GTGTGTGTGTGTGTGTGTGTGTGTGTGTGTGTGTGTGTGTGTGTGTGCGTGTGTGCGTGCGTGCGTGCGTGCGTGTGTTTAATAGGTTGGGTGTGTTGTAATCGCAGTGACATGTTGTTGCTCTTCCTCTGTGTGAATCACTCTCCTTTAACTGCTGCTGACTAATGTTTTGGAAACAAGGAAAGGTGGAGTTTCTGTCAGTGCCGGAGCAGCACTTTCACATCCCATTAACATCTATCCTTTTCATTTAACTGAAGGAAGTGAGCAAAATAAGAAATGTCACAATGGAGTTACTGAAATTTAAAAAATAAATGAAGTTATGTTATCTTTGCTGTGGAAAAAGTCAGAATCCACCTCAACAAATATGCACAATGTAACAGCTTTAAAAGCTAAAACTGTCTGCATTATAACAATATACAACTATAACATGTTTAAGAACATCTTGCACTTGAGAAAAACTGTAAATTACAAATCAAAATTTGGCCAAAGCGGCACAATTAAGGAGGAAAGTTAACATCTAGTCAGCTGCTCATTTAATTATACACAGCAGTCACTTGTCCTCTTAGCAAAAATCCCACAATAACACATGAAACATTCAAATAAGATGAAACGTATCATCTATGAAACAGAACGATCGATGCAAAAGATTAAAAAACAGTTTCAGTCGATGTTGGGAAAACTTTGAACGGTCGTATTGTACAGTTTTCACTGGAACACGTGACCTTGAATACACTTAAGTTTGATCGTGATATCATCGAAGTGACGCTTCGTTGAGACATTTCTTAAAAATTATGAATAATAAAGACATCCCAAAAATAACTCCTGCAATTCTGTCATCATATAAACTACACAGTGAAACGCATGTAAACCTTTTCAAGCCAAAAATGTGGAGTCAGTTTCAACGATATGTGACAGGAAAAATATACATTTTCTGTAACTCTTCCTTAATCTCTGCTCGGTTTAAGACGCTAAGAGTCACATGCCCGATGTTTTTAAAAGCAAATTATCAGATATTTATTTATCGTTATTCCACTTTGAGAGACAATTTATCATTACAGCTCTTTTTTTGGATGGTGGCTTTGCTAATCTTTCAGGATATACATGTATGCATGTATGCATTCAAACACTTAAACTGTTAATATGAGGATCATATAGAGGGTGATCTGTTAATCTGAAGAAAACAATAATATTTATTTAGTAGTTAATCTTATCAGTTAATCTTGATAAAGAGAAAATAACCTGGGGGTGTTTTATTATAACAAGCTGTAGTCTGTTGTGATTTAATTACCTTAGAAATGTGTTTACTTGAGCTTCTTGTGTGCATATTATATTGATATTCAAATTATACATATTTTAAAAGAAAATAGACATTGTTCTTAAGTGGGTTGTTTTACCCGATATTAGTCAGATGTTCACTGTTTATATACACTTTACTGACTTTGTAAGGTCGTCTTTAATTGCTCTTGTATAGTTTTAATTTGACCTTTAATTGACTTTGCTTTTATTTTACACACCTCTTTTTGTATTTACCTGCACTTATTTCTGTCCTTCTGGGGATAAATAAAGGCTCATCTTATCTAATAATAACATAACATAATAAGGCCGTTTAATAAGGAAATTGTCTAGTAAAACGTAAAACGCAGGAGTATTTTTTTTCACTGATGTATTGCGACTTTAAGTGATGTAAAATATCTCAACATCTGATCTGAGACTAACCGTGAATGTGAGCAATACCCATGTTTCCCTAAATCCTCCTCTGAGGGTGTGGGGGACTTGTGTCGGGTGTCGTTTCATACACTGAGGATAAATGTGAGGAGAGATCACATCCAGTGAACTCACTCCACTCTGCTGTCTAACAGCAGCTTTCTAGTGTGCTCGCCCGGTAGTTTCATCAGACCCGGTGTAATTAAATACTCTATTGTTAAATCCCGCCCGTATTCTTCCTCTGGAGCGTCACTTGTTCGTGACTCGGTCACATCCTGTAGAACTAGTTTCACGGGCAAAATTCCCGGTGTTGTTAGAGGACGGCGGGGAGCAACTCAATCAATTCAAGCCACTTCCCAAAAAACTGCTGAGATCTCACTTCCTCGTCCATGTGTGCGTCTCACAAACCCCGAGCAGACGTTTCATCACCGCGTGTCGTTAACGTTACTGTATGTGTGACACAAAAGCACGAATTACTGCTTCAGAGAGGTTCACGCACCTACAAGATCAAGAGCAACAAAAGCAAGTAAAGGGTAATAAGACGAGTCCAACATACATTAAGTTAAATTAAAATGGAGAGTTTAAAAAACGCCATTGTCATCCTAAAGGGGAATAAAGAAAACAAAATCAAAACCATCACAAAGGTCCATAGAGAAATATATCTCAGGTTTATTAATAACTTTCTTCATCTTCAAAACTCATTAAGACAAAAATTATAAAACAGTATTTACACCTTGTTTCTCTGATTGTCTTAAGTTACAGCATGCCAGAGAGACTGAAGGACGATCACTTTATTTTTCCCGCCCACAAAACACTCCATTTGCTCTGATCCCAAATTAACTTCATGACAAATTAAATAAAAAAAAAAAAAAAAAAGATTACCGACAGTGTTCGAGGTTAAAAAGAAAAAAAACATTCACACACAAACACACACAATGAACCCAAACCCTGTAGAGTTTAAACAGGTGAGGGACATACACATAAAGAAGACATTTTATCAACAATCTCAGCCGTAAAAATCTACAAAACCAACAACAGTCCTTGAAATGAGTGCGTTTGTGTGCGATTGTCAAAAAACAGTTCAGGAATGAACACAAAATAATAATAATAATAATAATCCAGTACAGTCATTAAAAGACAGTGAAGGCAACAGAACGGTAAGTCAGAGAGCTCCTTAAACCTTTGACAGCTCAATATATGAGACGTAAAGATAAAGGCAATGTCATGGTAAGGAGTCAGCGTAGATGACGGTTATGAAATCCTGGTCATTAACAGTATTGCGAGAGAAGCTACTGAGGCGGAAACTTTGGCAAATTTGTGGCTTTTTGTTTTTTTGGGGGAAAATACTGCTTTTCTTGCTAAAGTGCTTTTATTTTTTTAAATCGTAGAAGCATCCGGGCTGTTTCAACTTCCTTCAATCACCCTTCGAACATGATGGAGAACAATCAATGTGGAGTTAAAAAACAAACAAAAACACACTGATTGAGTTACACGTCAGTACCTTTCAAAATAAAATGATCAGCTTTTTACTCAGGATTTCCTCAGAAAGGTTTTTCGTTCGACAGTCTTTCTCAAAAGACTTAACATGTTGCTGGTGTTTTCTAACATAAACGGGTCTTTACTACTGAACCGGACAGTCAAATCTTTAAGATAAAAAAGCATTTAAAGAACAATAAATTCCACTGTTGTCGTCCAGTGCCAACCTCCTTTGTGACCTCATGCACTTCTCAATCTCTGCATCTCCAGAAGGGTTGTCCATGAGCTCCCAGACAGTCTGCCCGACATGATGCAACGCTTCCCTTCAGGAGAAACCAATCTTTTAATCCAATATTTCCACCGCACCGCAGCGACCACATCCTCCCATCGCAAACATTTCATCACCGTGAACATGTACAAGATCAGTTATACATTTTACGATAAAATTGAATCTGGATGACAGATTAAAACAAGCTTTCCCAAATCAGGTTTGTGACTGAATCACAGAGTAACGAGTGCTATCAAAGTCTCATGGGAGCTGTAGTTTGTTAATGCTAACAGTCCAGTATAGTAGATGTATTCATTTATCTTTAGGACATGTGAATATGCACATTAAACCCAAGAAGAAATGTTGCTGCTTTTCAAAATAAAAGAAACCCCTCTGTAAGAAAATAATCTCTTTTAAGTTTTTAATTCTTAAATATATTTAGAGCCGATTTCCATCATTTGCTAACTTTCACTGTATCCTCGGCTCCGCCCACTGAGGTTTAACTCAACCAATGACGTTACTGTAAATCCAGTCTGCTGTGATTTTAGTGCGTTGATCTCCACGTTGAAATATTACTTAAACTTACCCGTAATCAACCAACCGCCATGTTAACTAAAGCATCAGCTCAATTCACTGTAAATTGTAGAGAAACGGCTCAGACCCATAAAACGATGCATTAGTCTTTAGATTATCGCCGCTCGTGTCTTTGGCAGAAAGTCGTATGTTCATGTGCTGCAGCAGCCGATTAGCCTGAAAATGACTCAAAAATGGGTTAAAAAAAAAACAAAAACACAAACAAACCTTGTGACATTTGAGCTTTTCCAAATACGAAAACCTCAAAATACCAAGAATTTGAAAACCAAAATGAAATCATCCTTTTGTCTCGAGCTTTTTGTTTCAGATCCACGTTGAAACTGGAAGTAAAAGTGCAATTCCTCTTTTATGTCGGAGTAATTAAAAATGTCATCTGCAGGAGAGAAGCGGGAACAAGATGACCACACGTCTCAACACATTTTACAACCACAGAAGCGCTTCAGTAGTTTCACGTTACTCGTTTGTTCATTGACGGGAGATGAATTTGGGGATTTGAAATCTGTTGATTGAGCCTCTGAAAAATCTTCAGTTTGTGACGATCTGCGTCTGAAAAGTTCTTGGTGAATCCACTTCCTTTCAGTGTGCATCGTCTACTCCCCCTGATGTCCTACATTTCCCAGAATCCCTTTTCACAATGTTTAGGAGAGCAGAAGAGAACTCGTTGGATTTACTTGTGTATTCAAGTGGAAGAAGAAGAAAAACTGACAGCAGAGCATCAAAGATGAGGAAAAAACAAAAACGTTTCCAGTTCCTGCATTGCATTCTGGTACATGTAGTCGTAAATCAATCGCCGGACATCTTCGCAGGAATAACGAATCTCTTTGGTGTTAAAAAACCTGGATGACTGATTCTCTTTTCATGTTGAATATCACAACAACAACACCACATCTTTGAAACTGTACAGTGGTTTATGAGTGTGTACAGCTCTGTGAAAAAAAAAAAAAATCCATTGTCATAATCATAAAATATACATCATTGCTTCCCATAAAGCGGGCGACATGTGGCTGATGCCGGGGCTGAGCGCTGTGTTTGGCGACAAAAATGCGAAACAATAAATGTTACGGTTTCCCATCCCCCGAATCAGACCCACAGAAGAATTAAGAAAACCCAAACATAAGCACTGAACGCAGAGGAACATTTAACATGTAAAATCTCACAATGAGGCAAAATAAAAATCACATTTCTCACCCCCCCCCCCCTCATTGACAATAGTATATTTTTACACACACACACACACACACACACACACACACACACACACACACACA